GAGTGGAAAGCTAAGGAAGAGGTTGCATAGAGTATTGATAGTGGTTTGACTGATCTACGAACAAGAAACTAAATGTATTCAGATACAGGCTAAGGGGGGATACACCAGTGGGCATCGGAGGAGTGGAAGAAGGGAGAGGGGTAATTTCAAATTTGAGATTTTAGAGACAGATCCAGCCATTGTGATGAGCAAGATTGGGATTTGTCATCATGGCATGACTCCTTTGAAGACCTGTCCCTTCTGTGTAGGAGTCCCTTCTGGTGGTCCCAGCATTCCCCAACACTGGTTGTATTCTAGCAATCTTAATCCATCCATTCTGTACCCTAGTTCTTTTTCTAGTTTTTTGGGATTTTTTTTGAGTTGGAGTCTCACTCTGCTGCCTAGACTGGAGTGCAGTGACCGCTCCCGGCCACCGCAGCCTCGACCTGCTGGGCTCCGGCGATCCTTCTGCCTCAGCCTTCTAAGTAGCTGGAACTACAGGCACTACCACGCTCGGATGATTTTTTTATTTATTGTAGAGATGAGGTCTCGCTGCCCAGGGGGGTCATGAACCTGCGGGCTCAGGCAATCCACTCACCTTGGCCTCCCAAAGCGCTGGGATTACAGGCTGAGCCACCAAGCCTGGCCTTTTTCTAGTTTTTAAATTCTGTTATCCATCTCATCCACTAAAATCTTGTCCTATCTATTGTTTGTTCATTCACCCAACGGTGTTTACTGAGTGTCTACTTTGATGGATCAAGGTACCAGGTAAGTTCCAGGATGCAGTCCTTATTCTCTTGGAACTTAGAGTCCGATGGAAATAGATATAAGATATATATGTATAATACACATAATTACATAAATGCTTATAAAATCACAGTTTTCCTAGAGAAATGCAGGGAGCTATGAGACTCTATGGCAGGGAGAACTGGCCTAGCTGGGGACGAGTATGAGATGTCAGGGAAGGTTTCCCTGGGGAGTGATGTGGACGCTGGGTACTGAAGGATGCACAGAGATGTGTCAGCCTGTGTGCACCTGTGCATGTGCGTGTAGATGTTCCAGAAGGAATGGGATGTGTAAAGGTACAGAAACAGGAGGGAGAGTTCGGGTTATTCTAGGAGCTGAATGAAGAACAGTGTGGCTGGGATGCTCTGGATGGAGGAGTAGAGATGGAAGTAGGGGTCCTGTAGGCCATGCCAAAGACTTGTACCTTCCTTGTAACATGTCACTGGGGGCTGCTTAAAAGGAGACAGCATTTTTATTTCCTTTTATTACCTTCCCAGGACAGCCAATTCCAGAATTCTTACTTCAATCAAAGCAGTTTAATGGATCTACAGTTTCTTTCTTTCTCCAATAAATATATTAAATAACTAGCTTACTATTTTTACAAAGAAAGATTTTTTTTGGGGGGATAGGAATTTTGTAAGCATTTCATGCTTTTTTCCCCCTGCTTGCAAAATGCATGATTTATCTTTTGGGATCTGGGCATCTAGGTCTTAAGACATCTACCTTCAGAACAATGGAATAGTTGTCTTTGGTTAAATCTGCTTGTTTCCCCCAAGGAAAAAAAAGATTAATTTTATGGTGAGTATTGGGTGATCTTTAGTCCTGTGAAGGAGATCTTATCAAGAGTTTTGGATTTAAAAAACTTTGGTATGTCTATCATATATACAAGCAGAGTCACCAAATAGGCAGTGATGTGAGCCACGAGGCCAGGACTGAGGATACAGTTTGGGAACCATTCGTTCATAAATGATGTTAAGGCAGTAGAAAATGGTTGACCTCAGATAAGAAGAGCACATTGTTGGAGAAGTGAAGGGGCCCAAGCCTGAGCCTTAGTGACAGTCTTCACTGGTCCTGCAGAGGGGAGGAGGTTCAGCAAGGAGAACAGGAAGCAGCTAGGAAGGAAGGAGTAAAATTGGTAGACTAGTGTCACACAAGTCGAAAGAAGAGAGTGTGGCATCGATAATAAGTATGGACAAGGTTCAAAAGACTGAAGGAAATATAAGAATCAGGAAGTCAATACAGTGAAATACGAGCTTAGTTTTTTCTCTAAGTTCCTTCCTTACTCATCTCTTAGATATCCATAGGCATGTGCTTATTTTGGCTGTGATCCTCCCCAGAGCAGTCCAGACTCAGGGCAGTGTCTGGTAGATTTTCTGCTCTAGATGAACTAGCAGACCAGTCCATGAAGTATCCCCTAATTTTCTTGCTGGTTTCGGGTGCCCTGAATGTTGAAAGTATTTCTCGAACTGCCCTACCTTCACAGACTATTCCCTTCTCTTCCTCTGAAGAACCTCGGAAGTCTTTCAAAGCTTCAAAAACAGTTAGCTTTTTTTTCTTGATCTCCTTGCTGAGGAAGGTACTTTCTTGCCTGCCCAGTGAGATTTCTCCTAAGCTTTCGGTCATCTCTCATGGACGTGACAGACACCCTCTTCTTCCCCTTTTCTTTGAAGCCTCCATGACTCTATTCTTTGGAAACCTTCCTTCTTCCTGACTGAGTTTTCTCTGTCTTGTCATTTTCACTAACTGATGACATAATTAACAGCTAGTATTTAAGATGAACTTATCTTTGATGAGTTTTGTTTTCCTTTCCTATTGTTTGCAGTCATTATTTCAGTTCTTTCTTACTCCACTCCACTCTTCTACACTCCGGCTCCCCTAACCCTTCCCTTTGATTCTTGTGGTCTTGAGAACTGGTCTCTGTCACACATCTCATTGTGCTAAAGGTTTGTGAGAAGATCCTGTGAATTCAGGAGAACATAATTGAATCATAATGGTTATTAGTAAATTATGCTAATTTGTTAGTAACAATACCAGCAGCAATGACTGAAATTTATTGAGTTTCTTTTATGGGCTGGCAACTATGCTAAGAGCTTCTGGTGTATTGTTTATTTTATTTTCACAAAACCCCGTTACATATTGATTGATTTATTTAAAAAGTTTATTGAACGCTTGTGATACGCTAAATATTTTGCTAGATGTTAGAGTTACAATGATGAACAAAACAGTCATTATCTCTTCCTGAAGAGTTTATGGTATAGGGGGAGCAACAAACATTAAAAAATAAAAATAAATATTTAATGATGTGATCAACAACGTGGAATCTGTGACTGAATAGGAAGAAGATCCATTTTAGATAGAGCGGTCTGAGAAGTTCTCTTTTAGGAGGTGATGTGTTTAAGATAAGGCCTTAAACCAGGAGGAAACTGGCAGGCAGAGGAAGGGTTAGAGGTGGGACAGCCTCAGCTAGTGTCTAGGGCCTTCCAGGGCTGTGGTGACCAGATTTCATGCTGAGTGCAAGGGGAGGCCTGCAGGGATTTGCTTGTTTGCTCGTTTGTCTGAGTTGGGGATCTCACTCTGCTGCCCAGACTGGAGTGCAACAGTACAGTCATGGCTCACCACAACCTTGAAAGTCTGGGTTCAGGCCATCCTTCTGCCTCAGCCTCTCGAGTAGCTGAGACTACAAGTGCATGCCACTACATCTGGCTATTTTTTTATTCTTATTTTTTGTGGGCATGAAGTCTAACTTCATTGTCTAGGCTGGTCTCGAACTCCTGGGTTCCAGCATTCCTCCCGTCCTGGCCTCCCAAAGTGTTGGGATTACAGGCATGACCCTCTGTGCCTGGCCACTTGCAGAGTTTTAAGCAGGTAAGTGAAGGATCTGACTAATATTAAAAACATTACTCTCCGATCAGGCTCAGTGACTCAGCCTGTAATACCAGCACTTTGGGAGGCCGAGGCAAGTGGACTGCCAGAGCCCGTGGGTTTGAGACCAGCCCGGGCAACATGGTGAGACCTTGACTCTACAATAAATCACAAAATTAGGTGGGCATGGTAGCGTGCACCTGTAGTTCTGGCTACTTGGAGCGCTGAGGCAGAGGGATTGAGGGAGCCTAGCAGATCGACGCTGGGGTGGCCATGAGCATGCCACTGCACCCCAGCCTGGGCGATAGAGTAAGACTCCAACTCAAAAAAAATAAAATAAAAACATTACTCTGGCTGTCTTGTGGAGAATGGATTTGAGGGGAACAAGAGTAAAAGTGAAGAGAACTGTTCTGAGTTCATTGTAGGAGTCCAGGTTGGAGGTGGTGATAGTTAAACACAGAATTATGGTTAAGGAGTTGGAGAGAAATGAATAGGTCCAAGATATGACCTCGAGGTAGAGTCCAAAGGACCTGGTGACAGAGAAGCTGGAGTCAGGGATGACTTGGATTCTTGGCTTGAACCATGGAGAGGAACGCATTACCATCTTCCTCCTCTTTCAGTTGAGACTAAAGCCTCAAGCGGCTAGGCAACATGTCCCCAGAGATAGGTCTAGCAAATGTCGTACAAGTTGGACATCTCACATCCAAAAATTTGAACTCTAAAATGCTCCAAAGCCTGAAACTTTTTGGGCACTAACATTAAGTGCAAAGAGAACACTCATTGGGATATTTTGAATTTTGGATTTTTGAACTTGGGTTGCTCAACAGGTACGTGTAATACAAATATTCCAAATCTGAAAAAATTCAAATTCTGAAGGTCTTCTGATCCAAAGCATTTTGGGTAAGGGATACTCAACCTGTATCAGGATATGAACATGGGTTTGTTCAACACCAGAGGCCACACGCATAACCAACACACTGTGTTCTCTCTCAACAAGTCATAATCTTGCTGCTTTCTAAAAGGAGACACTTGGTTGTCCTCTGAATTATCATATCTCTGTCAACCATAATTTGGCTTACTTAGTTACCAAAGAGAATGTCAATATGCAAGTGTGCTATCTGAAGTATATTTTGGACTGGAGTGGATTAGAAAATATTATTTGGATCACTTGCCGAAAATATTATTTGGATCACTTTGTTATCCTTAGGTTTTTTACCTAGGTAAGCAGGTTCATCTCTGAAGGACTGGAAATGATCATCTTATCCAAGATATTCAGATTTTGTTCCCAGGCAGAAAACCAAGCTTCCTGCTTCTCTCCATGGGATCAGGAGAATATGTGTCATGCCTGAGTTTCTCTGAGGCCTTTCAGCAGCTTAGATGACACTGTCAAGGGCAGTGGTCCTGGAAAAAGTGGGTTTACTCTATGGAAAAAGAGGTAAATAAAATAGGTTAATAGGGACTGAACCTCGGCCACCCCTCATGGCTACAGAGGGAGGACTGGAGGCCACTGACAGGCAGATAGTAGGGATATTGATAGCATAAGGAAGGATTAAATAAAAAACAAGTAGGTTGAAAACTCAGTTATGCATAGTGATCCAATACAAGAAAACTTGTATTTGGTGATGTCCCGAGACATCCTGTATCCAGCTGGTATATTTGTGCATCCATAAAATGGTCCTTTTATTTCTGCTTTATTTGCAAAGTCATAGGTCTAGGGAGAGAGGAGAGAATTAAGAGCATGGTATGATCACGGGCTTACCTCTTTGGAATGGTTTATGATGGAGTAAATTGTGATAGAGTCATTGTTTTCTATAGGTGTTGGGATTTCTGTAGCCTGTAAAAAGAATCATAGCTATTTGACTCAACAAAGAGATTCATGCATAGATATATTCTAAGAAAAAGTAGTGTGACAAAAGAGAGTAAATCCCTCTACTGGAAATATACCTGGAAGAATCCCAATCACTCTATGAAAAAGATACCTGCATACACATGTTTATTGCAGCATTGTTCACAATAGCAAAAACATGGAACTAACCATGCTGCCCATTGAAAGAGGACTGGATTAAAAAAATGTGGTACATATACATGATGGAATATTACGTAGTCACAAAGAAGGACAAAATTATGAACTTCACAGCAACTTGGATGAACTATTAGAGTCTATAATACTGAGTGATCTTTTCCAGAAACAAAGATCTGAGTATCACATGTTCTCACTCATAAGCGGACCTTGAACAATTATCATAATACTATAAGAAAAGGATTGGCAGTAGCGGGAAACTGCTGGGGGGAGGGGAGTGGGCAGGATTGGCAGTAGTGGGAAACTGCCAGGGGAGGAGGGCATACCTCATTAACAAAGGTACCTGTGTAATGAATATTTGTATACCTAACCTTGAATTGTACCCCACATCTTTAAAATAAAAAATTGTTTTTTAAAAAGAGAGGGTAAGTCAAAGTTTTTGGGGAGGAAGGCTAGGGAATGTTTAGCGAGAGACCAAGTGCACCAGCTCTTAGATCTGTGAAGGTTTAGTGGCATTTCCTGAGCCCCAAACAGAAGATCAACACTCCCGCAAATCAGTGAGCTCAAGAATCAGAGAGAGACAGAGAGGCAGCCTTGTTGTATGAGGGGAATGAAGTGTTCTTGTCCTGTGTACAACTCTACTCTTTTCCTTCCATTACAAAAAACGTACACACCAGATGGTTATCAGATTCTCTTTTGTCTCAGTTTTACTAGCTATAACTGGAGCTGCCTATTTTGCTTGCTCTACTTGTCACTAGAATTCTAACTGCCTGGTCACCATGTCACTGGGGTGTGCTCAAGCATGGGGAATGGCTCTGCCTTGGGCCGTGGGGCTCATGCCTGTAATCTCAGCATTTTGTAGGGCTAAGGTGGGAGGATCGCTTGAGCCCAGGAGTTTGAGACCAGCCTGGGCAACATAGCAAGACCTCATCCTTACAAACAAACAAACAAACAAAAAATCCAAAAAATTAGCTGGGTATGGTGGCATGTAGTCCCAGCTTCTTAGGAGACTGAGGCAGAATGATCGCTGAACCCAGGAAGATGAGGTTGTGGTGAGGCATGACTGTGCCACTGCAGTCCACCAGGCTTGGTGACAGAGTGAGATCCCAACTCAAAAAAAATCCCAAAAAACTGCTGCCTGGAATATGCAGTGCAGTAACAACAGCAGAAGTCCCCATGCCCTTCAAAGGACATGCTCAAAAGTTTTGACACTTTAAATTAATTAAGGAATATTTAGAGAATTATCAAGACCTCAGAAACTCTCCAAAGTATATATGTTGTTTTTTTTTTTTTTGTTTAAAAAAAAAACGCTCACAAATTTGCGGGAGATGAGTTTCTTGATTTGTTGGAGAGCGACTCAGTTTGTCTCCAGGAGGAATTTGGAAAGGCAAGAGAGTGTCTGAGCAAGCGAGAACGCCCCTTCTTCTCTCTCTCTTCTAGGAGCCTACTTTGCGAATGCCCACGAGGGGCCCAGTGAGAAGAGATTTGCTTGGGAATACAAGATTTCTAGCTGGAACACTGCTTCCATCATTTGGAGAATGCTGTATTCTTGGCTTATTTTCAGAAGACATGAAGACTGGCCTCCCAAGATGTACAATGTTATTTTAAAATGTGTCACCTGCACTTGCTTTATTTGGAGGTGGTGGGGAGTTGCCGATGCATGACTGAGGAGCTGCTGAGGCATGACCAAGGCCAACCTGTTGTGTTGCTAGAGGCGAGGGGAGGGGGGCGGGACGCTCATGGTGTAGGGTCCTCTACTGTGGAGGGTTTCTCATTCTTGCTCCTCTTCTCCCCTTGAGAGACTACCTTAGAGCTCCCCCAGACCCCTACAACCAGGGTGAGAAGCCAACCCCTTGCTGTGGAACTGTCTCCTTAGAAAATATTCAAACTCAATGGAATTCTGATCCATTCACTAAGTATTTACTGAGCATGGTGCTTGGATATAGAGGAGGAGAGAGAAAGACATAATTTGCCTTTTCAGGCAGTTTGTAATTAAGCTGAAGGGGCAAGATGCTTTGGGGGCGAGGGCAACAGGTACTAGAATGGTCTTGCACATAACTTGGCCTGTCACTGCCTTCTCTCAATGGTCTTGCACATAACTTGGCCTGTCACTGCCTTCTCTCCCCAGTGGTGTATGTCATCTGATCAATCTGATGAGTGTGGTGACCAACTTGTGAATAATGACTGTAAAACTGACAACAATGGGGTACAGAGCTGAAAGGACTCACCCCGCTTGGATGAGCGACCACGGCATACACAGTGTTGCTCCCTGGAGAAACCAACATACACTCTCTGTTCCTTGTGGACTCGGCTGTTAACACAGGAAGGCACGGTCAGTGGCAGAGGACTCTGGGACTTCTCCCTGGACCTTCTTCCCCAGAGCACTTTCTGTCCCCAAATAGGCAGTTGTTTGAAGCTTCGCCTTTCCTTGGGGAATCACTCATTTTTGACAGTGTTTGGAGTTCTGGGTTGAATCTCCTGGTCATGTGGTCTATTTTTGACATCCCCATCTCTTGGGGATGTCCTTGAGGAGTCCTGAAGCTTTAGAGTCTCCCTCAGGCATCACATGTGGCTCAGGAAGCTTCTGGGACCAAACAACACCGCCTATGAAAGGACTAGAGACACCTCACTGGCAAACACAGTGGAGCCTATTAGTTCACATATATAATAGTATTAAACTTTTCTGGGTTCCTTAAGGCAGATTTGATTATTTTAGAGATGAAGAACTGGAGGCCCAGAAAGCTCAAATAACTTGTGCCAAGTTGCACAGGAAGTGGTGGAACAGGGACTCAAATGCACGTCTTCTGACTTCAAACCTCACTCCTCTCCAAGTGACATCATGCATTGGCTCATCCACGAGATGAGATTTGAAGCCAGTCTGAGTCCAGAGCCTGCATTTTGTCTCTGTATCACGCTTTCTCTTTCCACTGTGTCTATCCATCGCCCAAACCCTGGCTGAACAGTAGTGACGCAATCAAGCAGTTTGGTTTTGTGCCTTTGATTCTCTAATCCTGTCCATGCCTGAAACTTGTGGGTGACAATGGACAGGCCACGAGCCCTTTCACTGGCACTTCGTTTCTCTATCAGCAGGGTAGGGAGTGACCCTGATCTCATTACAAGAAACTGTGTGAGAGATGGATTTGCATGCTTGTGAAGGACCCTGTGGGTCCCAGGTCCCAGGTCGTCTCCTTGTACACCATGTGGTCTGTCTGAGTGGTGCCATTTTGATTCCCTCCTCTCTCATTATCCAGCCCTATGCTACCTCCCCCTTCCATTCGGCTCTTCCCATCTGCTTTATGACTGGGAGTTAAGAAAAGGGATGCTCACCAGGACCCTGGGTTTGCTGAATAGACAAAGGAAGGGAACCTGAAAAATAAAACCAGGAAGTGAAAATGTGTGACTTCAGTGAGGCCTTCCACCTCTCATCCTATGGGTGTCTCTCTAGAAGATGTGGTGGGAGGGGATCCAAAAGAAAGGACAGTCACCCCGAGGCTGAGTTCCCAGCAGAACACCTCCCTCAGGATCCTAGCAGGACTGGTTGAGCCAGAGTTTGCCTCCTCCTCCACTTCACCTGTCCTCCACGAGAGCCTTGGGAACCAGAGACCCCAGACTCTCAGTCCCTGGAACCTTGGAGAAGAGACAAGCAGGAAGGAAGAAAACCTACCTTTTCTTTTCTTGTACACATAGACCGACATAGGGATGACTATGCATATCATGAAAGATATAGGCAATACCCATTGGATAGGTAGGTAAGGATCTTCCTTAATATCTGAAAGGAAAAAAAAAAGGTGACACTTGATACCCTTCAAGTGAGGCCTAGAGTGTTCTCAGAGTCTCCATGGAGCCTCTTCTAGGCTGCCTTTGGGGATTGGGTGGGCTCGTCTAGACCTGGAGGCTCTGGGGCTCTGGGCAGGCTTTCCTGCAATGGGAGTCCTGTGAGATAGGCAAGGCAGGGCAGAGCCCAGTAGAGTCAGCAGGTGTGAGCAATCTTGCCTTCCCAAGGACTTTGCTTTTGGGCTCTCAGAGGGTAGGAAGAGGGGCTTGAGGAGGAGAGACCTCTGGGAGTACTGAGAGGCACAGACCACCCAAGGGCATCTGTTCCCCTCCCAGCAGCATTTGGTTTTGGGAATCTTGCAAGATGTGAGGACTGCTACACCCCACAGCTGCTCAGGGCTCTCAGGGAGACCTGAGGCAGGCTGTTACCTCCACAGAGCCTCTGAGCTGAGACAGAGAAGGATAGATTGCTGACGGGGTTCTCCGCTATGCATATGTACTTCTGTTCATTGGAATTCCTGAGGTCACAGGAGATAGTGAGGTTTGGTTCACTTAGAAGTGTATTTCCTGAAGTCTGCCACCTGAATGAGACATCGTCATTCGGATTCTCCACAGAGCAGGCCAGGTGAATCTCACAGGTCCTGTTCTCAAATAATTGACTGTGATGGGTAACTTGTATGTTGCTCAGTTTTCCTGTGTGCAGAAAAAAGACCCAGATTAAGGGCAAATGGCTTGACTCAGCCTCCTGTGAAACATAACCTTCACCTCACTGTTTTGTGTTCTACCTTTGCTGTATGGTATGGTCTGTATATTCTGTAAAAGACTCTGCTTGTATTGCCCAATTGATGGCTGCAAGGTCTCAGATGACCAAATAATGAAGGACATCAGTATGGGAAAGGTAGCCAGTGGGAGAAGTGGAAAGGGAGAGACTGGGGTTGCCACCAACACGTTGTGTAATTTTGGACGGGCCACTTTACCTGCCTGTGTTCTAGTTTATCCCTGAGGTCCCTACTAGGCCTTGCACAGTGCTCCTGCATAAAGACAATTTGGAGACCAAGCTGAGAACCCTGAGGGCCACCTCAGCCAGGTCAGAAACCAAGAGGCCAGGCACGAGGGCCCAATTTCCTCTGTTAACAGAATTCCCTAACTGGGGAGGAAGATGGAAGTGTCACTTCCTTGGGGAATCATATTTTCCACAGTTCTGGGGACCTTGATTCTTGCCATATCTAAAGCTGGCTCCATTGATGAGAAAGAGATCCAGATGAAGAAGGTTAGCAAAACAGAAAGGGAAGTGCTGAGAACCAAAGAATTAGGGAAGGAAGAAGTGAAGACAGTGAGAGAGCAAGTGGGCAATTCTAGGGAGCAAAGAAGTACATTCAAGCATTTGAGATAACATGTGTTGCAGACGTTTCTGAGAGCAAAGACCAGGAAATATTGCCTCATAGGAAGTCAGCAGCTGTGAACCAATGGGAACACGAGAGCAATACAGAAAAGGCCATTGCCTCAGCCTTGGCCTGAGGGTGGAAGTAAAGGTGACCCAACAAGGAACAGAATAACCCCAACTCTCTGATTAGAAGACACTGAGTGATGCCATAAGCTTAGTTTAATAAGAGTTGTAGAATAATGTACTCATCTTGCCAGAGCAGAATTTTTATGTATGGGAAGAATGTTGCGTTCGGAGTCAGGAAGACCTGGGTTAGGACCATGGCTTTGTCATTTACCAGCTACATGACCATGGACACATTATTAATGTCTCTGAGCCTCAGTTTCCTTATCTGTAAGACCATACTATAAAGCCTACTTCTCAGGTAGTGACAAGGAATAAATGAGACAATGCCTAGCACAGAGATGGCAAATATTTGGCATGAATGTCACATCTCCCTCTTCCCATGTTGATGGCTGGTCTCAAAAATCTATCTGGTTACCTATTTCCACTTAATGAACATATATCTGCCTACTGGACATTTCCACTTGGATATAAGTATATCTCAAACTCAACATGTTCAAAAGGACTCCTATTCTTCTTTCTAAAACCTGCTCAACCTGCAGCTATACCCACCTTAGTTGATGACAACTGCATCCTTCCAATCATGAGGCCAAAACCCTTGGTATCAACCCTGACTCATATCCGCAGCTTATACTCCACATCAGGAAATCCTGGTGGCTTTACCTTCAAAATATATCCAGAATTCAACCACTTATCACCGCCTCTACTGTTACTACCCCATTCCAAGCCAGCATCAACTCCTGCTTGGATTGTTGAAGTGGCCTCCTCATTTGTACGTTGGTTTCTACCTTTCTCCCTTGAAGTCTATTCCCAACAGAGCAGCCAAAGAAACCCTTCAAACAAGTAAGTCAAATCATATTGTTCATTTGAAAAACCCTCAGATGGCTCTCAATTTCACCAGGAGCCATGGTCCTCATTTCCTTTCTGGCCTCATTTCCTGTCACTTTCCCGCTCACTCTGCTCCTGGATGTTTGGTCTCCGTGGTATTCCTTGAGCATGCCAGGCACAGGGGAACTTGCTACCTTTGTGGATGACTCCTCCTCCAGATGTCTCGAAGTATTCTGACGTTTGAAGTAGGGTCTCGGCTCAAATGTCGTCTTTTTGATGAGGCCTATTCTGACCACTTCCTTTAAAACTGACCCCTGCTCTCTGGCTCTCCTGATGCTCCTTATACTGTTCTAATCTCTCCTTTGTCCATAGCACTCATGGCTTTCTTACAGACTGTATAATTTGTTTATATATTTTGTGTATTGCTTATTACATGCCTCTACTTTCCATCCCAAAATATCGGCTCCATGAGGACAGGGATCTTTGTATGTTTTGCTCACTGATATATTCCAAGTGCCTAGAATTGTGCCTTATACATTGTTCATGGCCAACAAATATTGTTGACTCAGTGAATAAGCCAAATATGACTTCAGTATTTTTCTTAATACTGTACTCTAGGCAGTCACTTCCAATGACCTGGTATTGCTCCATAAAATCAAATATTTGCCAGCCCTAACTTGGCACATAATGAGAGATTGGTCAATGTTTGAAAAAAAAAAACAACAACAAAAGCAAAACAACGATATAGTTTATACCTCTCAATTTCTTTGCACTATTTTAAAACTAGTTGGTATAACTTTTGGGAGCCAGCCATGGAGGCCTGCCTGCTGACAAAGTCCAGGTGGCTGAAGACTCTGGGTCGCAAAGTGAACCTGGGCAGCTGAGACCCTTGCTTCTTCTACTTTTGCTATTAGTGCAGCCGAAAAGTTCTGTACAGTCTGAGAATGGAAAGCAAAATTCCACTCATGCCTCCACTACCCCTTGCAAAAAGGCAGGAGGGAAATTTGTGAAAAAATTACCTTCCCTTCATTTGAATTCCTCAGGTTTCCACATCCCTGGCCTCCTGGTATTAAACCATGCAATCACTTGATTAAACATTGTAGTGGGGAAAATTGTAAAAAATCAGAAAGTGCTCTATTTAATGTTTGTCAGGGAACTCACTGGCCTTGCCAGGAAATTATCAATAGAGATTTTAAATATCATGTGCAGGTAGATAATCACTTGTAAGATTTTATTTCTTCTGATTGGTGACTAATTGGAGAAATTTGAGAAGCTACAATTTGTATTTTTAGGAAGAGTGCCAATGCAAAAATTACATTTACTTAATTTCTTAATTTCTACATGTGGTATATTATGCTTAAGAAATTAACAATCACATAAATATTAGAGCACCCTTGCCTTTACTTCCCTTTGTTAAGGAGGCTTGTAATTCTGGTTAGGGATTGTGACTAAGGTGACTTGAGCCCAGGAGGTCTTTTGTTTTACAAACATTAGTCTCCCTAACAGGGGATAATTGACACAGATTGTAAACACCAGGTGTGAAATTAGGGAAAACTAGTCAGGCCAACTTGCAGCTAAGAAACCTTGAAAATGTTGCTTTACCCCAACTAGTTGCAAATTGCTGTGTGAAGGTCACAGGTGTGACTTGCTAATCAATGTAACAGTTGTACTTAAAACTTGGTAGTGATTTATAATGTAATAGTTATAGGAATAAGTAAGTTTTGTATGGACATTAAGAAATGGTAATCATTAAAAAATGTTAGGAGTGTATAAGATTTATAGTTAATGTTTAGGATCAGAACAGGATGAACAAAGATACATTGCCTGTCTGGTCCATTAAATTGAAACTGATTGCCTTGAAAACAAAAAACATGTAGGGTATAAAAGGAGTTGGAAAAGACAATAAATCGGCATTTATCCTGCTTGCAGCAGAGTCAGTGTCCAAGTTTTCTCTCCTGCGCCAATGCCATCCCTCCTACAGGAAACTCTGACCCGCTGGAACTGGACTCCGGCATATAACTTACATAGCTTTTTGAGCATGTGTCTTTGAAGAAGAGGTACTTCAAAAAGTCTTGTAAACAAATTGGCATTCAGCCTCAGGAGTATGGCTATTGCAGAAGAAATCACACTTGGTCTCCTCAACAGCGTCAGAAGAACATTGTCTCGATACATGTGATGGAGCCTGGTATGGGGTCTGTTTTTAGGCTTTCCACTGGATATGTCTTTCTTTTCTGCAGGGTCCTAGCACTGCCTTGATGATCACTGGTCACCCAGGGAGGTCCTCTGTAATGGGTTGAATGATGACCTTACAAAAGATATGTCCATGTCCTAACTCCCAGAAGCTGAATATTACCTTGTTTGAAAAAAAGTTCTTTGCAGATGGAATCAAGTTAGATGAGGAGCTCATCTAGGATTATCTGGGTGGACCCTAAATCCAATGACAAGTGTTCTGATAAGAGAAAAGCAAAGTGATATTTGAGACAGAAGAGGAGAAAACACAGAGAGAAGGAAGCAATGTGGCCAGAGGCAGAGATTGGTATGATGCAGTCACTAGCCAAGGGACATCGGGAAATGCTGACAGCAGCCAGAGATGAAAGAGGCAAAGAACAGATGGTCCCCTAGAGCCTCCAGAAGAATGATAGCTCTATCCACACTTTGAGTTTGGACTTCTGGCCTCTAGAACTATGAGAAAATAAATGTCAGGTGTTTCACGGCAGTTAGTTTGTGGTATTTTGTTTTAGCAGCCTCAGGAAATAATACACTGCCTCAGGGCAATTTCCCCTCTTGAGTTGGAATCTCCTGTGTAGAACTTTTCCAGACATCCTTTCTTTCACCTCATATTTACATGCTCTGTGTCCTATTGTTTCAAGGACATGACTTTGACTAATCTAACATGATAAACTAATATTCGGGGGGTACTAAAGATACACATGTAATTTATTTATGGAGACGTTTTTATTATTTATTTATTTATTTTTGAGTTGGAATCTCACTCCGTTTCCCAGGCTGGAGTGCAGTAGCATGCTCGTGGCTACCCCAGTGTCGATCATCTGGGCTCAGGCCGGGACTACAGGTGTACACTACCACGCCTGGCTAATTTTTTGATTTACTGTAGAGATGAGGTCTTGCCAAATTGTGCAGGCTGGTCACGAGCCCGTGGGCTCAGGCAATCCTCTCACCTCGGTCTCCCAAAGTGCTGGGATTATAGGCTTGAGCCACTGTGCCCAGCCGACCTTTTTTTTTTTACAGTGCTCTTTGGGTACCATGTCTTAACCCAAAGGACTCTGAGTGAATTCTGGACACAATGGGCTCTCAAGTAGATAAAAGTTACAGACTCTCAGTGGCCTTTACTATTGTCTAGTCTGATTGCCAATTTAATGCTTGAGTCCCCTGTACATCACTGCTAAATAATTATCCTAAAGCCATGCATGGCCTCTCTGAACATTGCTGATTGCTAGAAAGGCTTCCCCCCCTCACATATTGATCCATAAACTATTCCATTATAATTTCTATAATTTTATGTTGAGGACATTTTCATTCTTTAATCCTGGGGAGGCAGGTTTTTTGATAAGTGGTCAATATGAGCCATCTGGAGCAAATATTGTTAGAAATTAAATAAACTTGATAGACAAAGCTTTTTTCTTTATCAGCTCATCCTTGCAGAGCACTTTCTAGGTAGACCACTATTCTATACACAGATCACTCTAATGATTTGGACTAGCCTTTGTATAGAGCAAGGTGCCATGGCAGGGTGGTTATGTGGGAAGTGCTACCACTTAGTATCTCCATGACGTAGGCAAGTTCCAGTCACTGAGACTATGTCTCAAGGGTAAGGACTTACCTCATGAAGACTTTGTGAGGATTGTATGATAGATAATGTAATGCGCATGGTAATGCTACCATACTTATTTTACTTTCATTTATTTCTGCTACATTTCTGGTTGAAAGGGACCATTTTATTGGGTGACGGGGAGTGAAGCAATTCTGGGGTGGGAATCACAAGACTTAGGTTCTATTTTCAGCTCTGTCACTAACTGGCTGTACAATGTCATTGAGTTGCTTTACTGCTGGGTTGCATTCTAACCTCCAACTGTCATATTCTTGACCACTAGGCTACAGTGCACACTTGTAGTCACACAGAATTGAAATACAGATTTTTGAAAGCCCATACAGCATGAAACCACATTTTGACTCACTGAAGATCTTCAGAGTGTAGTTGTAGAACACTATGGAGATATCTGTGGCTATCTGGGCGTTGTAAGGTCCTTCGTCTGTCATCATCAGATTGCTGAGCTGCAAGGAGTGGGACTGGGTGATGCTCAGTCGATTTTTCCTAGTTGGGTCAATCACATAGATTGCTGGACTGCTGGGTTCATTTAGACTTATGAAGACAATGGATTGTTTTCCATTCATAAGCCAGGTGATGGACCTGATCTCTCCTTTAGGAATCTTCAGGGGAAGAGTTACCACCTCCCCTAAAACCCCATTTATTATTAATGGGGTTGAGCTGCTGTTTTGTGAAACTACATTTCCTGTGAACAGAGGAAAAAGGTGATAAAATTCTCTGTAACAACTACCTCACCACCCTCTCCCCTTATGCTGTCAGTCTGTTAGAACTCTCTGATTCCAAAACCCAGAGATGTGATGAAATGAGAAAGGGTGAGGAGAAGTCTTGAAATGGACAATCACATGCCTAGGACTTCACCTCCGACAGAATGCCTAGCACTCTTGGTTAACAGACAGTTGGCCCAGATGATTCTGACCCAATCCATCTTCTCATATTGGCTGGTCGTTCCTGACTTTGCCATACTTTGTGACCTTAGTCTCTGAATTTTGGGGACATTAGGTGGAGTGGGACAGAGAATTACAGACTTCAAAAACTGCAAATCTTTGCTGATGAAGTATAATTAAAACCTGACATTTACTGATCATCTACTGTGCATTCAACATAGTAGGTATGTGCATTAGAAGACTAACAGCAGGGACTAAAATCCGGAATTTATAGCATATCCAGTTCCTCTTACACATTATGTGATCAATGCTGACAACCATTCTGTGAGGTAGGCAGGATAGATGTTATTACCTTCACTTATAGATAAAAGAACTAAGATACAGAAAGGTTGATCAGTTAACACAGCCAAAGAATAGCAGAGTCAGGATTCAAACCCAATCTTCTGATTGCAACTACTTTGTGCTCTTTTCATGATACCACAAGTTATGTTTTCTGCTCTCAAAAAGAGACTAGAGTGTAGTAGTTGAGGAGATAAGTGGATACATGTAAAAATAATAAATATAATTTCAAGGTAACACATAATGGCCACATTCTTGTGAGCCTAACTCAGAGCCATCAATATTTGAGCAAAGGTGAAATGATTTTGATGACTCTTAGAGAAGATACTTTCTTAGCATCCTTTCTTAAATTCTTAGCAGTTTTCACTCTGTTTTGTAGTCCTCTGTTTACATGTTTTTCTAACTGACCAGACCTTAATTATCCTTGCATGTCAGCACTCAGTGCTGTGTCTGACACGTAGTAGGGTCTGTGGAAATGTTTGAGTGTGCCGATGAATAAGTGACCATGACCATGACCTCAACCTTCTCAGGACCTCTTGTTTCTTAGGAGAGAAGCTGAGTAGGGGAGAAAATGCCTCTTGGGATGCTGATGCCCAGTTCCTAGGCGAGCTTACACCCAGTCCCTTTCTCAGTTGCCATATGGATTCCAGACACATGAACTCCAGTCCCTTCTCTTTGCCACATCTTTCCCATCAGTATTGTAACACTGTTACCTATTACCTTGACCCCTCTTTCCATGTGGAATCACATGGGTGAATACCAAAGGCAAAATCTTGAGCAAAAAAAATCCAGATACAAAAGAATACAGTGATATGATTCCATTTATTTTAAGTTCATAGACAGGCAAAACAAATCTGTGCTCTCAGATGTCAGGAGAGTAATACTTAAGGAGGAGGGGGAGAAGTTGAGTAGGATGGAGTTTGAAGGAGGGATTCTGAAGTGCTGATAATGTTCTATTTCTTGATTTGTATTTGGCTATACAGATTTAGTCATTTTATAGTAGTTGATCTGGGGATCAGTACATTTTTCTCTTTGTATTTCAGTAAAAAAATTAAAATGATAATAAAAGCAAAACAAAACAAAATTATTACAATGGCCTATAAGGACCAAAATGACTTAGCCATTTCTCTCTCTTTTTGACCTAATTCCTATAACTCTCCTTGTGTTCACTTTGCTCCAACCACCTGGCTATTTCTTGATCAGGCCAGGGCTTCTGCACTTGAAATTCCCTCTTCCTGAAATGCACATCCTTCAGGTACTCATGCAGCTCACTCTTCTGCCTCCATAAGGTCTTTAATACAAATGTCTTGCTTCAGAGACTTGGGAGAAGTGTGACCACTCTTTCCTCACTCTCAGTCTCCATCCACCTCTGTACGTGCCCCTGCCTCTGGATTTATTTCTCTCTTTGGTACTTACTGTCTAGCATACTTTATATTTCACATATTTGTTTTGTTTTTTCTCTCCCCTCTCCACTAGAATGTAAGCTCCATGAAGGCAAGGGTTTTTTTCTGTCTTGTTTATTGTTGTGAATGTTCTTGAATAGCTCTTGGCACATGAATACTTATTGAGTGAAAGGACACATCTCCATACCTTCTCTTGGAGGTTTTCTGTCCAGAATGTGAAGGCTCAATTCTTCTTAATAAAGGGTCTGGACTTATCCAATGGCTCAAGGACTTGCCAGGGATTATTTTCCTCTTGCCTAGCATACTCATTTAAGTTTCCTTGCTTTTATTGATTGCAATTAGCAAGCTATTCATTCTACTATTTGCTTAGTTCCATGCTAATGCAATGAATAATGACTTAGAAATTATAGCATTCAGATTATAGTTATTTGTTTGTGATCCTTCCAACCTCCCTCCAACCTCCTGGGTTCAGGCAATTCTTCTGCCTCAGCCTCCTGAGTGACTGGGACTACAGGCATGAGCTAGCCAATTTTTTTATTTTCTATAGAACAAGGCCTTGCAATGTTGTCCAGACTTGTCTTGAACTCCTAGGCGCAATCAGTCCTCCACCTCAGTCTCTGTAAATGCTGGGATTATAGATGTGAGCCACCGTGCCTGGCCCAGATTATATTTATTAGCTCCCCTGACACACACACTTTTTTTTGAGTTGGAGTCTCACTCTGTCGCCCTGGCTGGAGTGCAGTGGCATGCTCACGGCCACCCCAGCGTCAACCTGCTGGGCTCTGGCGATCCTTCCATCTCAGCCTTCCAAGTAGCTGGAACTACAGGCACATGCTACTGGGCCCGGCTAATTTTTGATTTATTGTAGAGATGAGGTCTTGCCAAGTTGCCTGGACTGGTCATGACCCCACAGGCTCAGGCAATCCACTCGCCTCGGCCTCCCAAAGTGCTGGGATTACAGGCTGAGCCACTGAGTCGGGCCTATTAGTTCCCTTTTATGTACCTGTTTCTGTGCTGGAAACTGGGAATACAAATATGAGTAAAACATTGTCAGTCCTCTGGATTCATCATCTGGTAGAGAAGTCTGACAGATAAATGAGTGGTGAGTGAGGCAGTGAGCGAAGATAGGGATTGCCTCTGAATCACTCCCATATAACTGTTGTACCTGTGCACTCAATAGCCAGTACTTTCTCTTTATTGTAAGTATTGAAAGAAGTTCGGTGCCAGTAATGACTCCACACCCCGCCAGGACCAAGAGATTTATTAAAAGGGGCTGTTAAAAAAGGGGGGGGGTGGTGCTGTTACAGAGGGGATCTGTAACAGGAAAAAAGAGAGAGAGAGAGAGAGAGAGAGAGAGAGAGAGAGAGAGAAGAGAGAGAGTTGCGAGGAGAGGGCTGGTCAGCCCAACAGGGGCCGGAAGGGGCCATGCTATGCTCCTATTGGAGGAGCTGCATGGGGAGTAGGGTGGGGCCAATGCCGTGTTACAGTCCTATTGGACGCATAACAAAGCTGGCTACGGATTGGAGGCTTGCAGGTTTGAAATTGGCGTGGGAAGGTTTGAAATTTGCCCACGTGGGGAATTGTGCTCATAGAAGCTGGGACCTAGGGCCTTTGTTGTCTGGTGTGTAGGCGCCATTTTGGGGGCCTCCCCTCTGGTTGCTTCCTGCACCCTTCAAGTATGACATTATTTCCCTTTCTTTTCCATAATCTTGAAGCCAGAGATTCTGCTTATTATTTCTTTAGTCCTGGAATTTAGCACAATTCTTAGTTCAATAAATGTTGAATTGATGGAGACGTGCTCTGTGGGAGCACAAATCATGAGAATGCTATACTAGGGACACTTGGGAGCTGTCAGGAAACACTTCACAGGAGATGACATGTCACAGAGTTCTGAATATAAACTAGGAGTTCTCCAATTGCTCAATTATTTTAATTCTTCCAAGGATGTCCTGCTTTCTTTGCACTACTCTTCCCTCTGCCTAAAATGTTCTTCCTCATCTTTTTTCTTGATACACTCTTATTTATCCTTCAAGGATGAGTCAAAATATCTGTTTGCCTCTGCTTGTGCTTGTGGAAGTTTTGCTTTGGTGTAGGAGGAGGAGAAAGGAGGTGGTGGAGGAAAGGGAGAAGGAACACAGAGGTAGCACTAAGCTGATTCTAAAAAGAGAGAGAAAAGTCAGAAGAAACTTTGGAGTTTCTACCCAGGAAACTGGCTTAGTCCTCTCTGTAGTGAAGAGGAATATAGTAAGCTGTTTTAGCTCAGCATGAAACAAGTTCAGTATGAATGAAGATAGGGGCTAATTTCTGAGAAGATTTAATAAAACTGGAGAAACATATGGCAGGATCTTGAAAAAAAAGTAGGACAAAAGGAAGTTACTCCTAGGGGAAAAGTCCTGAATGAACTTGGAATGAAGGGAAGAAGCTGACAGAGAAGGAGCGACTAAAGCTATGGTGAAAGAAATTATTCAAAGTACAGTCATTTCTGAGGAGGAAGCGAGGGTGGGGCTTAGAGACACAAGTGAAAGAGTTAGTCTTGGGTAGCAATTGTTATTTTTTTCTTTCAAGATGGGGGGGGAGAAGAACTTAAAGCTCTCAAGAGATTTGGAGGTTAAAGGGAGAGAAGTTGAGACTTTTAACTTAGGTTGACCTCAAAATTGTTCTAAGGGAAGTAGATCTGATAGGGCCTGAAGGAAGATGGATGAGACACATAAACTTACTGTGAAGAATTTGTCAGGAAATTGCCAAGTGATCAATAAATGAGTGTGGAAGCATTAAGGAGGACTTGGCCATGGTTGGTGGACAGGCATCACTGTGGTATCAGTACAGTTTTGTGACCTTCTCCAATGATGCTGGAACATGTAACTCAGGAACAGGGAAAGAAGATTACTGGGATTACTCAGTACCAGCAACAGGCATGTTGGAGGTAGATATGGCACCAAAGGGGCAGGGGTAAGAGATTTCAGGGCAATAGTGACCACTTTGTTGAAATTACTTGCCAAAAGTCTGACAGTCAGTGACATCAGTGATAATGACACAGTAGGTAACTCCAAGAGTCTATCCCTCCATAGAAACACACACACACACACACACACACACACACACACACACAAACACACTAGGAGAACCAACCTGTCAGAACTCTAGAAACTAGTCAAAGGGGCTGGGAGCGGTGGCTCATACCTATACTTTCAGCGCTTTGGGCAGACAAAGTGAGAGGATTGTCTGAGTCCACAGGTTCAAGACCAGTCTGGGCAACATGGTGAGACCTCATCTCTACATTAAATCAAGAAACTAGCTGAATGTAGTGGTGCGTGCCTGTAGTTCCAACTACTTGGAAGGCTGAGGCGGAAGGATTGCCTGAGCCCAGTAGGTGGAGGCTGCAGTGGTCATGCCACTGGACTTCAGCCTGGGCGACAGAGTGAGAATCCAACTCAAAAAAAAGATACATTTGAAAAAATAAAAGAAACTACTCAAAGGTTTATAGAAACCAAGCAAATGATGAATCAAGGAAAGAGGCAACTAACTACACAGAAACAGAATAAAACAGTGGTTACAAGGGGTGGAGGGAGGAAGTGGGGAGGAAATGGGAGGTGTAAGTCACAGGATACAAAGCTGCAGATATGTAGGATGAATAAGCCTAGAGACTTAATGTACAACATGAAGACTATAATTATAATATTGTATTGTACACTGGAAATTTGCTAGGAGTAGATTTTAGATACTCTTATCATGCCTGCAATAAAAAAGGGGAGGGGTAACTATGCAAGATAATGGATATGTTAATGTGCCTACTATAGTAACCATTTCACTATGCATATCAAAACCTCATGCTGTACATCTTAAATATATATAATTTTTTAAATGGTAGAAGAGCTTTGCAGAACGTTTGCTTGCCCTTGCCCCTACCTCTCTTCCCCAGCTTGGTGGCAGTCTTGAAGACGGCAGCCTGAATTCCCAGTATAAGACTATGGATCTTGGTCCCAGAGGGCGCAGAGCAGATCTTGTTCTGAAAATATTGTGTTTATCTGTTTTGGCCTATCTGGATGTTCCCTAAAGAACTAATGGAAGGCACTTGTGTTTGTTTCACCTAACTCAGCACTCTCAGGTAGAAGAGTAACTATGCGGAGACATTCCTCATAAACACTGAAAGGCAAATGAATGACCCATTGCCACCAGGGGCAAAACATTATAGTAGAGGCAAACAAAAGACATACTGAAAGCCTAGGAGTAAAAGCTGGGGAGAGAGAGTTTTTGAAGAATTGGAGTATTGAAAAGTGCCTGCTTATACCAGGGAATTTAGAAAGCTACATGTATGCCCAGGGCAGGACTGAGGAGACCATAAGGTTTTACCTATGTCCGATATTATGCTCAGCACAAGCAGAAAGTCAAGGCTAAGGCAGAGTAGTAATAACCTATCTAAGCATTAAAGGAGTGTCCTAACATAGCCGATCTGCAAAGATAGACACAGAATTAATTAATTTCTCCCAATATTCAAAAAAATCTGTTAGAATATTAATTGACCATAAGCTAAAGAAAAAGAGAATTTAGAGATCACTTGTGACAAACACTACATTTTTTTTTACAAAAATAGTTTAGAAAAGTCACTAAGCTAACAAAAATTACAACTCATAGCAAGCAACAAAAGCAAATACTGACAAGGGGGAAGGAATCTTATTTCCAGAGTTATCATATTACAATGTTTAAAATTTCTAGTTCTCAATATAAAATCATAAAGCATATGAAGAAACAAGAAAGTATGACTCATTCACAGGATAAATGAACACAAATTATCCTGGAGGAAGCATGGATATTAAATTTAAAACAACAATCTTAAATATACTCAAAGAGCTAAAGAAAACAATAGACAAAGAACTTAAGGAAATCAGGAAAAAGAACATGTGAACATTAAAAAGAAAAGATAGAGCCAGGCTCGGTGGCTCAGCCTGTAATCCCGCGCCTTGGGAGGCTGAGGTGAGTGGACTGCCTGAGCTTGCGGGTTCGAGACCCGCCAGGGCAACTTGGCAAGACCTCATCTCTACAATAAATCAAGACTCCGACTCAAAAAAAAAAAAAATTAGCCAGGCGAGATAGCGCACGCCTGTAGTTCTAGCTACTTGGAAGGCTGGGGCAGAAGGATCGCTGGAGCCCAGCAGGTCGAGGCTGCAGTGGCAACTGCACTCCAGTCTGGGCGACAGAGTGAGACTCCGACTCAAAAAAAAAAAAAAAAGATAGAAATTATAACAAGGAAACAAATCGAAATTCTGAAGTTGAAAAAAATACAACTGAAATTAAAAGTTTACTAAAGGATTTCAGCAAAAGATTAGACCATGTAGAAGAAAAAGCCAGCTAATTTGATTCAGGATTAGTTGAAATTATCCAATCTGAGAAGAAAAAGAAAAAAAGAGTGAAGAGTGAAGAAAAATGTACAAAGACTAAGAGACTTGTGGGACACCATCAAACATACCAAATAAAACATAATGGAAGTCCAAGAATGAGAGGGGAGAGAAAAGGGAGAAGAAATAATATTTGAAGAAAATAAGGACCAACAATTTCCTGCATTTGATAATAGACACGAATCTATACAGCCACGAAATTTAATGAACTTCAAAGATAAAAACAAAGAGATTCACAGCAAGACACATTATGATAAAACTATGGAATAAAAAAGAGAGAGTGAAGGTTGAATGCTGCAAGAGAAAGCAACTTCTCATGTACATGTGGTCCTCAATAAAATCAATAAGACAATTTCTCAGAAAAAATATATGGATAATGGAAAGCAGTGACATATTTAAGGTACTGAGAGAAAAAAAAAATCAAGAATTGTACATCTGAAAAAACTATCCTTCAAAGATGAAGAAAAGATTAAAACATTCCCAGATAAACAAAAGCAGATGGAGTTTATTGCTAGCAGACCTGTACTATAAGAAACGTGAAATAAATCTTTCAGACTGAAATGAAATCACACTAGAAAAGAACTCAAAGTCCTGTCAGGAAGTAAAGAATACAAGTAAAGGTAACTACATCAATTAATACAAATGCCATCATTCTTGTATTTTTGCTTTGCAATTCCTTTTTTTCCTACATATTTTAAAAGATAAATGAATAAAACAATTATAAATCTATGTTAATGAGTACACATGTACAAAGATGTATTTTGTGACAACAACCTAAAAGAGGCATAATGGAATAATATAAGAGCACAGTGTTTGTAGACTATTGAAGCCAAGGTGGTGTGATTTCAAAATAGCTTATTAAAAGTTGAAGAGATTGCCTGGGCTTGGTGGCTCAGCCTGTAATCCCAGCACTTTGGGAGGCTGAAGCGAGTGGATTGCCAGAGCCCGTGGGTTCGAGACCAGCCTGAGAAACTTGGCGAGACCTCGTCTCTACAATAAATGAAAAAAATTAGCTGGGAATGGTAGTGCGCGCCTGTAGTTCTGACTACTTGGAAGGCTGAGGTGGTAGGATTGCCAGAGCCCAGCAGGTTAACGTGCTGGGGTGGCTGTGAGCACACACTGCACTCCAGCCTGGACAATAGAGTGAGACTCCAACTCAAAAAAAAAAAAAAAAATTCCCAGGATGGCAGCTAATAAAATGAGTAAAAATATACAGAAAAAAGTCAAAACTAAAAAATATCAG